GGGGCCGTCGAGCACTGTTGATGTTTGGTGCCACGGGCCAGTGTCTCTGCTACACCTTCATCACAGCTCTCATCCGGTACAATGAGATGCCTGGCTACCCACATCAACATGAAGTGGCGTCCGCCTCGGTTGCTTTCTTCTTCATGTATTATGTATTCTTTGGAATTGGCATGCAAGGCGTGCCATGGTGTATGTATAACTTTTCTTCCCATTCATGCTCTCACTGTGTACTGATGATATTCCTAGTGTACCCCACAGAGATCAACTCCCTTACAATGCGAACCAAGGGCGCCGCACTCGGAGCAGCTACAAACTGGATTTTCAATTTCATGGTCGTCGAGATCACTCCAATCGGTATACAGAACCTTGGATGGCGATTCTATACGATTTGGATCGCGCTGAACGCAGCGATGGTCCCCGTTATTTACTTCTTTTATCCGGAGACAGCAGGACGTACGTTGGAGGACATGGATGACTACTATCGTGGGAATCCACCACTTTTCGTCTGCTTCGACAGGGAAGCAATTTCCCGCAAACGTCCTGAGAGATACCAGGCTCGAGATGAGCATGTTATTCGGGCTAAGGAAGATGATATGATGGAATCAGCGCAGCATGTGGAAAATGCGACCGCGGTGATGGCTTAATCGTAGGCCTTGAGTTGTTAAGGCCGGAATACTGCTTATGAAAAAGTGTGCTTTGCCACCTGACGTCAACTGTTGGGTCTCATCCGTGATTTATCTAGCTCGCTTTATGCAGTCGTTGTCGTGCTTTATTTGTGAATTTTGTTGTTGGTTAGGATATTATTGAATGGATTTGACTTTCTACCCTTTTAAGCGTTTCTTAATGATATCTCATCAGCTTCGGTCGCCAAGTTGCTCATCTAGCCGGTGTATTCTTTCTTGTCTGACACATCCCTTGTGCATTGCAAATCCATGAATCATAAACCCTTTAGTAAGGAAACCCGTCCTTCTACTAACATAGCTTTGGGAAATTGGCAGGATTATGAGGTTTCTGCTATGCTGGGGTGGGGCAAGACCGATCGACAAGCCCCCGTCTCGGGGGCACACCCCAGAATTGAAGACCCATGCCCATCCATCCTCCACTAAACACAAGTGCCACTACCATTGTATTACCAAGCATCTAAAGCCTCAAATCTGTCGTAAAAATGCCATCCTGCGTTATCTTGCCCATGAGTTTCTACATTTCACTACCCTCGCCTCCATACGCTCACCTTCTCTAACGAGACGCTTCCTAATGCAGACATATGCGCCGATGATTATTTCTCAAGAATAGATCTTCAACCTATTGCCCACATTTAACCAATATCTAGTATGAGTTATATGACCACCTTCGAGCTACCCCGCTCCATGAGGGCATTAGGTGCGTGTCGCATTCTCTTGACTGGCCAACAAGCACAACGGTTGATATGACGGTCGGAAATGTAGAGTATAGCGAAGCTCGAAAATTCAACATTGTTGAAAAGGAGCTTCCTAGAATACGTGCTCACGATATCCTCGTATGTTGTGAACTTGCGCAACCCGTAGACAATGTCTAACATTATTCCAGATCAAAGTAAAGGCCTGTGGTGTCTGCGGTACCGACCTGCACATCCACGAGGGTGAATTTGGAGCCCAGGTAAGGACACACCTACCACTAATCAATATACTGGACTGATCCGCAAAGTTCCCCCTAGTACCCGGCCATGAAACCGTCGGCATCGTCGCGGCATTCGGCAGCGAAGTCGTTGGCTTCACAGTAGGGGATCGCGTGGTAGCCGACAACTCCGAACTATGCGGACACTGTCACTATTGCCGCCGAGGAAAAGAGCTCTTCTGCGAGAACTTTATCGCCCACGGCGTAATGGTCGATGGCGGATTTGCCGATTACGCTGCCTACCCGGCCCATCGCGTATTCAAGATCAGGAACCTGTCAGACGTCGATGCCACCTTATTGGAGCCTGCAGCCTGTGCGGCACACGGGCTGGATAAGATTGCTCCGCAGATGGGATCAAGTGTTCTTCTGTTCGGCGCCGGTCCGACAGGACTCATGCTAGCTCAGCTGCTTCGCCAAAATGGTGGCTGTCGAACTGTTATTGCTGCACCGGGCGGGTTGAAGATGGAGCTGGCCAAATCTCTTGATGCTGCGGATGAGTTTGTCGAGCTGCCAAGGGACGAAGACGCCGTGGCTGCTAGGTTGGAGCAGCTACGAAGGGAATATCCGTACGGCTTTGATATTGTTGTGGAAGCGACGGGTAGTGAAAGGATTCTGGAGAACGCCATACACTTTGTCACCAAAGGTGGAAAGTTGGTGGTGTATGGGGTTTACAATGATGAGAGCCGCATTGCGCTGTCACCGAATAAGATCTTCAAGGAGGAGATCCAAGTTCTGGGATCGTTCAGTCAGACGTACAAATTCCCAGCTGCCATTGATTATCTTGGTGAGTTTTGTGAAGTGGGGTTATGGGCAATCAGTGGCTAATGACTATTTGCATATACAGATCGTGGAAGAATCAATGTGTCTGGAATTGTCAACAAGACGTTTAAATTGGATGAGTGGGAAATGTGCCTTGACGCGATGAGGCGAAAGTCAGTTGTCAAGGCTGCTATTGTCTTTGACTAGATACCACTCAATACAGTTGATTACAAGCCCAGGTGATGTGGACATACGCTAGCCCCATTTAGTTGGTTGTTTTAGTGTGACAGGCAACTCTACCGAGACAGAAAGTACTAAGATCCTTCCATGATCAGAGTGAGACTGGGAGTTCTTATGTCCTTATTAGGCACACTCGCATGATCAAGCCATTCTCATTCCCATCATCCAGTCGCGTGAATTGCGGCTCTGTAATAAATTTGGTGCCTAGTGGTGAAATTGGTAGCTGAAAACGCGACGGCAGCACGGAAATCCCAATCAAAGCGTTATGCTTAGGGGCTGCGATACGAACAAAGGAATCATGAGTCTGTGGGGACTACAAGTGGGCCACTTTGTATCACGCCAAAAAAACCATTGGTTGATCCGTCTAGCCTTTCATTCAGCCGCATTTCAAGCTTCATTTGCCCAACCCAACAAAGAAGGCCCCTGCGCCCCTTTATTCCCTCGGGTCGTGAATACTTACCAACCAAATACACGCTGTGTTGTAGGCTCTCAATATCTTTAGGCAGCCAGAACTAAGTGGCCAATTGGTGGTCTGATTTTCCCTACAGTCTGTAGCGATTACACTAGGAGGATGGTAGCAGAGACAAGTATAAAGAAACGCAGTTCCCACCTCCCATAGATCCTTACACTCTATCTCCTTAGTGTCAGTCATATCTTGTTACTACTCCCAGATCTTACCGACCATGGAAACATTGCGCGGCGCTATTTATGGCTTCCCCGTGCCCCAACCACGCATCCGCACCAAACCACTGCAAGTAATATGCGTAGGCCTACCACGATCCGGAACAGAGAGTCTCAGCCGGGCGCTCACCCAACTCGGCTTCAAAACCTACCACGGCTGGGACATTGTCTTCGACGACCCACCATATGCCCAGGGCTGGGCGCAGCTAGCAGAGCGGAAGTATTCGGGCGTGCAAGGGCCAGGCGATGCCCCAATCACTCGCGATGAGTTCGATTGCCTGCTGGGGCATTGCGATGCAGTGGTGGACACAGCAGCCGCCATGTTCAGCGTGGAAATGATCCAGGCGTATCCAGAGGCTAAGGTGATTTTGAATACGCGGCGGGACGTGGATGCCTGGCATCGCAGCGCCATGAACACATTGGTCGCAGAGGGTGAAAACCAGTGGATGGCCTGGTTTCTGCGCATTTTCACGGCGGATGCGTACTGGCTTTGGAGGTTATACTACACGATTGGATATCCCGCCATGTTTCGTGGGCGGACGACCAAGGAGGGGCTGATGAAACATGGGAAAAGAGTGTATCAGGAACATGGATTGATGATTCGAGGACTTGTGCCGAAGGAGAGGCTTTTGGAGTGGGATGTTGAAGATGGATGGGGTCCTTTGTGTGAGGTAAGTTAAGCTTAGTGTGATATTTCCATTGCTTGGAAGAGTTTGTCAATTAATGTTGTGGGCTACAGTTTCTGGGTAAAGATACCCCTGATGAGCCCTTCCCGAACACCAATAACCCAGCAGCTTTTCGGAAGCACATCCAAAGTATAGTGCAGCCGAGAGTTAAACGGGGACTGTTTAATTTTGCATGTTGTGCCACTTCGGTGGGAGTGTTGGTGACTGCTATTGTGTTGGGGGTGAAGAAGAGACAAGCATGGCAGAGTCTGATCTGGGAGATACCCGTGGTGGTCAGGCAATGCTTAGAGTCATTTTCATTTTCGAAGTAGTTACTTGAGGGCAGATGCGGGTAAAAATAGCTTGTTTGGGGACTGCTGAGCGAGAAACAAAAATTGTTGAAAAAAACAGAATCCCCCGAACCAGAATCGAACTGGTGATTTTTCGGTTACAATAATACCCATTACAGCCGAACGCCATAACCAACTAGACCATCGGGGGTTGCTATGGGAGAATCTCCCTGTTTTGATTTTATATTCCAATTGCTCAACATTTAGCAAATTGGCAGTATCTAATCATGTCGTTCACCTGCCTCACTAGTTATAACTACAAAGCTGAATATCCGGGAGACATTCAAGATACAGGTTCAATATTCCCAATCACTGCTGTCAGTTTCCAAGTAGGTAATGCAATATAGGTTGTCGCGTTGGGGTCCTGCTAACCCTTCCTCAGCTACTGCTATATATATATTCGATCGCGGTCGGATTAAAGGGGCAATGTTACTAAAGCAGCACCATGATGTGACTGACTGCGCTATGAATTATGTCAGCTGGTATTAGTAACATGATCTCTTAGAACATCCATACAACTACTTAGTACTCGGAAGCCTTCAATTAGACACAAGCGGGCCAGGTAGAGACACTGTTCTACTTTTACTTGGAAAGGAGGTAAAGGAAAGATGGCTCGTCCTCGAAAGACCCCAGGCCGGCTAAAAGATAAAAGGTCAGATTATCATTGCTGCCCCGAACATAGAAGTACTGACCGAAAATCACAAGGAACCGCTCTCTCTTGTAAACGCGTGTTTACTTTCCTTCACTTTTTTGTCGTTGCAAAGCTATAATTTAACAAGCCCATCAAAAGTATCATCATCCATATCCGACACATCAACAGCTAACCCAGAATCCTAACTTCGTCGAATGCCATTCTGCACCAACGGCTTCATGCTAGAAAAGGCATATCTAGCGATCAGCCACTTCCCATGCTCCCTCTTCAAGATGAACAATTCCTGATTCGCATGTGGCTCAGACTCCTGGGTGGCAAGTATCGTTTTCGTTCCTTCAGCCGTTGTCCTGGCAAAAGCCCACTCCGGAGACATAACAACGATCTCTTCAATTTGAAAGGTGATAACGAGCTGAATGGTTGCAAAAATGCGTGTGTATGAATCGCGTAGAGCCTCAGTGCCTGTACTGGCCGAGAAGTGCGGCGGCATGATGACCCCGTCTTCCGTGTAAAGAGCGACTGCTTCGTCCACGTTTCGGCTTTTCAGAGCGTTGCCGTAAGCGTGGAGGAGGGCAGAAATCTCATCGGTGTCAGAGGGAGACACTGCAATCGAGTCAGACCTTGCCCTAGAAAGGACCCGTCCATCGTGGGTACACCTACTGATGACTTGCCGATTCCTGAAGTATAAAGGAAGCGACTGAGAGCTGAGTGACTTCAAAAATGTGTCTGCTGACACTACTTAGTCCACCCACTGATATCCTGCTAGCTTTACTGACCGAGTATCTGGCCTTATATGTAACCTTTCTGTTCAGGAATGGATACCCCCACTCTTATAGGTGGGGGTTTGGCATCACATAAGATACAGATTGGAGGCTTCCTGGAAGAGTCAGTCGAGCCATCTTGACAATTTTTGTATAGCAGGGACTGTGCTGAGCATGGCATAATCTTGGCTTGCGGTGCTTGGAAATGGGAGGAATAATAGTGCCACACTGAGGTCAAGCTACGCAGTATCTCCGACCGGGAAGCTACGGGAGTACATGCCATGATGTTCTCGATGGTATGCGGTATAGATTTACGTTTCAAAGTGTCTACCAAAAATCCATCATACTGCGGTAGGGTATAGCTGGTATGACCCAATGGCTTCGATGCTAAGATTCGACGGGTCGTTCTGGCGATTTAGGGGGTGTATGGCAAATCTGACTGCTGCGCGCCTTGTCACTATACCTCACCAACAAAACTTGAACGCTGCCTCAAGAGCAAATTGTCAAGTACGCCATAAGGTTGGGGACACAGATGCCGTACGGTAAGAAATTCGGAGTTGGGAGCATAACCTCAGAGGAGCATCCCGCATGATACCAAGAGTGGGGGGTGCCTTTTCTTGTTGACCAGAGTTAGCGGAAACTCATGAAAAAACCTAACTAAAAGGCCTGGACTAAGGAACCCACGAGCACCCATTCTTTCCGCAGAGATGCACTACTCCTAAGCTTCATCGCACGCTGCTTGGCACCAATATCCCGCGCACCGGTTAAACAGGGTTTGTTGACTAATGCTAGCAAACAAAGCATCAGATGTTAATATTCTTGTAAAACCCGCGAAGAGCCACATCCGGTAGATCTGCAATTCCAATGGTGAAAAGAAAGTACTGCATTCTTCGCGGGTCGATCAAGACTTCCCCGGTTTGCTGACCAGCTAAATGGATTACGAGCCAGGCCCGGGCTTCACCATCAATATCAGTGCATGGTTTCGGACTATGAGCGATGGGCACAGACAGGAACCCTGCCCTCGTACTCATCCGTCCCGGTAATACTTTTAGTTTCCGAATTTGAACGGTTCACTATCTGCGAAGTAGCTAGGCCTTCCACCCTTCACCCGGGCTTATTCCCCGGAGTTTGCAGCCGATCAGTAGAGCAAAATATTAGGCACAGATTACTCTTCTCTAGTTTCCATATCTTGAAATTCGGTAGTATAAGGAGTAATAGGACTGTCAACTTCAACCTCCAGGAAAAGAGATAGCCCTAGTCCTTCACATACCCGCCCACTGTTCTCCATAGCACGGCCCATCAGATTTCAGAGGCGATGAAGTGTTTTCCCACAAGGTTTGCGCGAATTAAGTTATATTTTACCGACACGAGAGCTGAAACTTCACCAAATCTTGATGGAGGATGTGGCTATGCGGATTGACTATCTTCCTGTGTCTCAAGTTACGCGACGTCGCACAAGAAGCCAACCAGTAGGTATGTAATGAAAACAAACCTCTTACGGATCCCCATCTGGCGGGGTAAGATGATATGTCAACTTCTTCTCATCAGGAACTTTGGTAATAGATGGCCCGATGACTGAGAGAACTAAAACGTTCGGGAACATGCCCTCCATAAGTCAAACAACAGTAGCCAATCTACCCCGTCTTTTCACTCAACACCTATGGGTTGTGTAGCAACGTATTAGTATCCCTTCTCTCTCAACCCATTGCCTTGCCGTCACAATTTCTCTCCGTTTAGTATTGCGTTCAGGGTGGCGTTGTAAGATACCGACACTTGGCTGCCTTCATACGGAGAGCCTAGACCCCCTTTGCTGGCATTTTCTTTCCTTTGCTTTTCCTTTTTCCTTTTTTTGCATGAGCCCTATTTCCGTGTGGTGGAGGTTTTTACTTTGTGCTGCTTCAAACCTACTAATTCGTAGCATACCGTCATAGATACAGTATCGCATCGTTGCGGATGGCTTCATCACAGCCAAGGGATATGTATTGAAACTGTAGAATGCACTGACTAGTTTATCATTGGATCTAGCAAAACCCCTTTAGAAAAAGAACGGCAGCGGAAAGAAAACGAAAGAAAAAGAACAGACAGTCTGCGTTTGAGAATGGAGATGAAAATATGACCGAAAGGCAATCATTAACAGGCACATAAGCCATTCAGACGTAGGAGAATAGAGTAAAAATAGAGAGAAACGTGATAGAAAGGCCAATCAGTAAAACGTGAGCTTGGCCGGCAGCTTCATCTCCTCTCCGATCAGACAACCATCTGGCCTGAGCGCCCTGATATAAAGCGCACTCCTGCTAACATCGCATTCGATCTCCAACGTGAACTTGATGGAATACTCGGTCCTCCCATGGTCATCTTCCCGATGCCAGAACTGAGCCAAATTCAACTTTGAGAGATCAAGCAGGAACATGCCAAGTTTTTCCACATCTAGGCTATCAATCAACAGGGGGTCAGCTTTTGTTACGCCAGATCAACTTACCAGAGTCAGTAGAAATTGGGCAGCAAGGTCTGTTGTACCCACACACGGCAATCGAGACAAGTTTGGGATCTGTTGCCTTGTAGATATGGCGTAATTGCACTTGGGTGGTATGACCAGTCACGTATCGCTGCCCCTAGAGTCGATTGACTGTTAGTGTAATGTATTCGAACCAACCGTAGAGATGTGAGGAAGATAAATCGTACTTTGTGTAGCACCCAGTTGATTGTATTGTCACCCGGTTTAGCGACGCCATAGTGTCGAGGGCACTCGACCAAAAGAGGCGTGTTCTCGGTGGCATACCAGACGCCTCCTCTTGCGACGGCCATTTCTCTTCCAGGAGTCAGTTTAACCATCCATGTCACAAATAAAAGGTCTCTAGGTGAACACACGGGTTTGGACTAAAAATCACAGAAATGTGTTCTGCAACAAGGACTTTCCGAAAGTATTCCTGGACCCAAGGAAGATTCACCACTCCCCCTGCGAATACCATGTACTGGGACGAATATATGTCAGTCAGTTATCCTCTTTCCAGAGCCGACTTCCTACTCACCTGGACACCGCCGGCAGCGTTGTACATGTCCCGGATAAATTCTAGTATCTCTTTCAGGACGGGGTTGAAAACGGCCCTCCAGTCGTCCATTGAGATGATGATTTCGCTGTAGTCAACGTCATAATGTAGCGGATTAGGGCCGACGATACCCATGGGCAGTCGAATTCGAAATTGTTCTCCATTTCTGTCGCCGTCAGTAATGTCCCTCTTGTGGCGTGCGAACTCTCTCATCAGCCGACTGGACGGCCCAGTTCGATTAGAAGGAAGGGTGCCGAATTCCGGATCAAATCGATCGGTTAGAAGAGAAGAGAAGTTTCTATCGATGTTGGTCCCCCCGATATTGCGACCTAGTACGCATTAGTACACGTGGCGGTAAGTTAGGAGAACCAGACAATACTTTGGGGGGCCGACAACTGTTGTAGTTGCAAGCCATTCTGAGTTCGGAGTGCCACATATGAGCTCACATCCTTTGAGACGGAATTGTTAGCTATTGGAAAAATTGGGGGGGAGGGGGAGGTGGAGGGGCACTCTTACGGAGGTTCCGCCTCCAAGATCAACTATCATGACCTTTTCACCTGCCTATTTGTCCCACCACTTATTAGTCATATTGGACATATCTTAAATGTTTGGGTGCCAGTGGCACTCACCTTTATGTCCTTGAGGAGGCCTCGCTCAAACACGTATCCCGCCACGGCTTCAGACTCCGTGAGAAGGTTGATATTACCCTCACTAAACCCAGCATCCTTCGCAGCAGCAACCATCGCGAGCTGGGCCCCTCTCGAGAACGAGGCTGGAACAGTGGAGATATACTCAACCTCTAAATTCCCAATAGACTTGAGAGGCTCCTGAGACCAAATATGGTCATGAAGCCGTCGTAGATAGTCGCGGACGACGGAGTCTGCCTGCTTCCCTCCAGGAACGTGAAAGACATCATCTCCAAGATCACCCTGACCAAGTTCAAGTCCATTTGCGTCGGCCTCTAAGACAAGTTTAGTCCATGAGCAGGATGTCATGTCTTCCGACACCTCAAAACCCCAACTATCACGGTCCACATTGTTTTCAGCCCCGTAGGCAAACTTTGATGGTACTTTCCCGCTCCTCTCAGTCGAGTTGCAGTGACCTGGCCAATTGCTCACTGTCTGTGTGTTTTGGGGAATCTCCGGCTCATGGAAATTGACGAATCGGTATCCGACGGCTATATAACCACCATTAGTCACTTGGCCGTGTGAATGAACTCCATTAGAAGATACATCCCTGAACCGGTGGTACCATAGTCCACGGAAATAACAGCTTTGGGGGCTTGCATGGTGAACTGGGGGAAGGTGATTGAATTGAGAGATGTCAATAATGTCACTTTAAGGTATAGGATATTAATATCACACTTGGACTTGGAATTACTTCTGCCTTAAATTCTCTGGAGCGAAGAATTATTCACCAGAGGCAGGGGTAGCACTGTACTAGCGATGATTTACTTTCCAGGACCCTAATAGCCTTCCTGGCTCGACTGCATGTTTCACCGGGACAGTGACAAGGTTTGAAGCGGTGGTGGCTCTGCTTTCCCGTTATTACCTTCGTTTTTCCCTCGTCTCCTTTGTCCTATTACGGCCGCAGCTCTCCGGTGGCCACCGTTCGTACCAACCCGAATGCAAGCGAAAACACTGTCTAAATTCAGGTAGAGAGTGATGAAGCCTATTAAGCCTTGGAAGAAAACATGAGAAGAAACCAATACCGAAAACTATGATTTAATTTTTATTTTCATTCTTCATTTTCGACCAAAGATCCCGTCAGTTTCTAATGTGTACTGGGCTAGCTGTGCTTTGTGGTAATTATTAGCAATTTCTGCATGGTACTTTCTCAGGCTTCCGAGGGTGTACGTTGTACAATGATGCGTGTAAAACGGATGGCACGGTAGCTTTGTCACGCCTAACAGTAATTGGCTCCCGCAGAGGATGCTGGTAAGCTGAACCTCGCTCTACAATAAAGAAGACGGACAAAGAATCCTTTCAACGTACCCCAAAAGACCTGACTTATATGTAGCCTCCCCTTACCCTCTCTGACTGACCACTTCTGTTATTTTTTCTGTTTAAATCCCTTGCCACTTTCCCCCCGTGGCAGCAGCTCGTTTACCCTCCTCTAACCATGCCGAACAAAAAGTCAACATCTTCCAAAAAGGGAACAGCAGCAAATGTTTGAATCTCCATCTAGCTGTCCCTTGACCATAGTAACACGTTGGGCTAATATTTCGGTATCTAGGACGATGCTCCAGGTACCAATCAGTCTACCTCCGGACGGAAAGAAACCAGAGAGCCCCGTATAAGGAGCCGAAGCAGCAGCCCAGTTCGAAGAACGAAGACGGAGTCAACTACAACGTTGACAGGCGTTGACCCGGTATCAGAGATCGCGGAAAAACCTCAGGACCAAGAAGAAGAAGAAGAAGAAGAAGAAGAAGAAGAAGAAGAAGAAGAAGAAGAAGAAGAAGAAGAAGAAGAAGAAGAAGAAGAAGAAGAAGAAGAA